TCCGCCCACCTCAGTCTCCCAAAGCACTGGGATTACAGGTGTGAGCCACTACGCCCAGCCGATGAGGTATTATATTACCCAGGCTGGTCTTGAGCTCCTGAGCTCAAATGATCCTTCTGCTTTGGCTTCCCACAGTGCTGGGCTTACAGGCCTGAGCTGTGTGCCCAGCCACAAGTTACCTCTTGGGGACGCCCAACAGGATTCCAAAATTCCCTCATTGCTCTTGGAAGTCCCTTTCGGTGGCCTTCACTGCCCTGCCTGGTCTGGCCCCACCAACCTTTCCAGCTCCACCTCACTCCAGGCACCTCAGCTGTGCTCCTTCAAGGCAGATGCCTTTCCTCTGCTTGGAACATTCTCTCCTCCCAGTTAGTTGGCACCTATTATCCTTCAAGTCTAAATTCAAGTACTACTGCCTCAGGGAACTTTCTCTGGCCCCCAAGTAGATCATACTCCCATTGTACCCTCTCCCAGCCTCTACCAGCTTGCTTCTAACACATGCCAGTTGCAGTTTCACATTTACTTGTGTGAATATTTGTTTACCATTTGCCTCCCTTCCTTATCTGGTTTTGCTCACCACGGAATCCTCATTGCTCAGCTCAGTACTTGGCTTATCATAAGAGCTCAACAAATGATGATGGGCTGAACAAAAAACTCAATATCATGTAAATGAGAAAACAACTTCCAGACCAGGCAATGTGGCTCACATCTGTAATCCCAGCACTTTGGGAGGCCAAGGCAGATGGATCACAAGGTCAGGAGTTTGAGAACAGCCTGGCCAATATGGTGAAACTCTGTCTTAAAAAAAAGAAAAGAAAAAGACAACAGCTTCCAGGTGCTAAAGAATTCTGCAAGTTCTAGCTGGGAAATGGCCAGATCTGAGATTTGAAGCTAGGTCCATGTCTATTAGGGTATGAGCCCCTCCATGAAAAACCAGGAAAATCCAGCCAATTTCATCTTTGTCTCCCATAAGAATTGACTCCTGAAAGGAATCATGGCTAGAGACCTTGTTACCTACCACTCATCTCTGGGTCTTAGGTTTTCCCCTGTGAGAAATGGAACCCTTTATCTAGAGGTACCTGAGGGTGGCAGCCTGGGGGCCAGAGGGGCTCACCGGGGACACGCGAAGATTCTCATCCACTAGAGCTTCCCGTAGCACCAAACGCCCAGCATTCTGTAGCTGCTGCAGGGAGATCACCAGGGTCCCTCAGGGCCTAGGGGAGTGGCATAGAGCAAAAGAGTGACCCAGGGGAATGACTCTAAGTCACCCCCAGCCCGACCTGCATCCCTGTCTCCCCACGCCTACTCACCTGGGTCTGAATACATGGCTGCAGTTGACCACCTGCACAGACAGACACTCCCCAGCCAGTGGAGCCCCATAGTGGGGTCAGTGGAACAGCTGGGGACAGGAAGAAGCTTGTGACACCCATGCTGTGCTGACCCCAAACTCCAATCCAAAGCCTATTCTTGCCCGGGCATTGTGGCTCATGCCTGTAATCCCAGCACTTTGGGAGGCCAAGTTGGGTGGATCACCTGAGGTCAAGAGTTTGAGACCAGCCTGGCCAACATGGTGAAAACCCTTCCCTACTAAAAATACAAAAATTAGCCAGGCATGGTGGTAGGAAGGCACCTGTAATCCCAGCTACTCAGGAGGTTAAAGGAGGTGAAGGTTGCAGTGAGCTGAGATTGTGCCACTGCGCTTCAGCCTGTCTCCTGAAAAAAGAAAAAGCCTATTCCTAACCCTCAGACAGGAGCCAATCCTCCAGGTTTGGAGCTAACTTCAGGATTAACGTCCCCAAACCTGGAACTGATCCCTGCACATGGGTTTGACTCTGAGGCCCTGTCTCCTGAAAAAAGAAAAAGCCTATTCCTAACCCTCAGACAGGAGCCAGTCCTCCAGGTTTGGAGCTAAAACTTCAGGATTAACGTCCCCAAACCTGGAACTGATCCCTGCACATGGGTTTGACTCTGAATGGGGCTGACTACTGATCACAAATGAATTCCCCCAGTCTTGGGACTGATTTGTTCTGATCTGGATCTGATCTCTTAAGCCTCAGACTGACCCCCACCTCCCAAGACTACACTTCCCCAAACCCAGGAATGAGCCCCTGAACCCCAGGTTGGACTTGGATGGGAGACAAACCAGGAACCAACTGTACTGACCTCACCAATATCGGCTTCTTGACCACAGTGAATTTTTCTTGTTTTCTGGGTAAAGCCTGCTCAGAACTGAAACTAGTCATTTATCAGCCCCTCCCCCCCACACACAAAAATAATTTGCTTCACCCACCCTTGGCCCAGGGTCAAGTCGCTCCTGGATTCACCCTTAAAGAAAGGTAGACAATGGGAAGGAAAGAGGCAGAGGGTTGGAGACACCAGGCTGGGTGGAGAAAGAGACAAGCTGTAGAGATGGGAAGGCATTGGGTCAAGGGCCCCCCAGATTCAAATATACTTAGAGTGCCCCAGCAAGTCTCACCGCGAAAGCTGAGCTTCACTTGTCGGTCGTGGGTGCCGGACAGCCCTGTTAGTCGTTGCACGCACACTGTCAGAGCCATGGTCTCAGTGGCACTGGCACTTCCTCTGCCCTCCTGCCCACCAGCCCGCCCACCTGAATCGCCTCTGACTCACTGGACTCACCCAGCAGGTTTAGCAATCCCTGCCCTCTAGTCAAACACACAGGGAGCAGGGCTGGGGGTCACGGGTGGGGAGGGAGGAGAGGACCGAGAGATGGAGGTAAGGTCCTTGAGGTCAGTTCAGTCCTCCCTGGCTCCACCAGCTGCAAGCTGGCAGGACTGCCTCAGCCTCCATCCTGCATTCTCAGGGAATGAGAGCTGGGATAGGGTGGGGAGGGAGGCAAGGGGAACAAACAGGACCTCAGTCTGCTCCCTGCCAGCCCTGAAGCCTCAAGGGCATGGACCTCATGCCTTCCCTTTCCTTTTATTTCCTTTCCTCTCTTTCTTTCTTTTTTTTTTTTTTTTTGAGACGGAGTTTCGCTCTTGTTACCCAGGCTGGAGTGCAATGGCGTGATCTCGGCTCACCGCAACCTCTGCGTCCTGGGTTCAGGCAATTCTCCTGCCTCAGCCTCCTGAGTAGCTGGGACTACAGGCATGCACCACCATGCCCAGCTGATTTTTTGTATTTTTAGTAGAGACGGGGTTTCTCCATGTTGACCAGGATGGTCTCGATCTCTTGACCTCGTGATCCACCCGCCTCGGCCTCCCAAAGTACTGGGATTACAGGCATGAGCCACCGTGCCCGGCCCCTTTCCTCTCTCTCTCTCTCTCTTTCTTTCTGGTGGAGTCTTGCTCTGTTGCCCAGGCTGGAGTGCAGTGGTGTGATTTCAGCTCATTACAGCCTTCACCTCCTGGGTTCAAGCAATTCTCCTGTCTCAGCCTCCTGGGTAGCTGGAATTACAGGTGTCCACCACCACACCCAGCTAATTTTTTGTATTTTTCATAGAGACGGGGTTTCACCATATTGGCCAGGCTGGTCTTGAACTCCTGAACTCAGGTGATCAATCCTTCTTGACCTCCCAAAGCTGCACTCAGCCAGTTGTTATGTATTCAAATGAGTCTGGGGGTCTAAAAAACACCAGACAAGAGGGACAGGCTGTTCCGTTGTTAAGAAAGATCCAGATTAGACCTGAAACCCTCAGATGCTGGGGGAGGGCTTCACCTCCCCCTTTTAACAGATAGGGACACTGAGACCCAAAGGAGTTCACAGACAGAAAACAAGGCAGAAACAGAGATAGGGTAGTATGAACCAGAATTCTTAGTTTGCAGTGCCTTCACCACCTTCTCCCTTCTTCCTTGTGGGCTCTGTGGCACCTAATGAAGAAAGGTATTGATGTCATCCCTCTGGAGCCTGGCATGGGCATCTTCCCTCTGGGTTGAAACACAGCTTAACAGATTGCCCCTGTGCCTCAACCCCTCTAAGAACTGCCACTTCCAGTTCCTAACATTCTTGCGTTTTTTTTGAGACGAAGTCTAGCTCTATCACCCAGGCTGAAGTGCAGTAGTGTGATCCCGGCTCACTCCAACCTCCGCCTCCCAGGTTCAAGTGATTCTCCTGCCTCAGCTTCCCAAGTAGTTGCAACTACAGACGTGCACCACCACGCCCAGCTAATTTTTGTATTTTTAGTGGACACGGGGTTTCACCATATTGACCAAGCTGGTTTCGAACTCTTGACCTCAAGTGATCCACTGCCTGAGCCTCCCAAAGTGCTGGGAGTACAGGCATGAGCCATCGCGCCCAGCCCCAGTTCCTAACATTCTAAGGAAGGTATGCGAGGCAGTAAGAGTACTGGGCCGGAGGGAAGGATTTGGGAATTCTAATGTTATGCAGTGTGTTATTCCCCTACCTGGACCTGTTTGCCTAGCTGTGCAACTCGTGCACGATGCACTGCATTGTCTTTCAAAACGTGTTTTTTTGTTTGTTTGTTTGTTTGTTTTGAGACAGAGTCTCACTCTGTTGCCCAGCCCGGAGAGCAGTGGCTCAGTCAGCTCACTGCAACCTTCACTTTCTGGGATCAAGAGATTCTTCTGCGATCAAGCAATCCTTCTGCCTCAGCTTCCCGAGTAGATGGGATTACAGGTACGCGCAACCACGCCCAGCTAATTTTTGTATTTTTAGTAAGAAAAGGAAGAACGGAAGGAAGGAGAAAGAAACTGTTATACTCTGAGTGCAATTTTAGATGAGGTTTTCTGGGAAGTGCTGTGACATCATCGTTTGCTTTAAAAGAGGCTTGGCGCGGTGGCTCACACCTGTACTCCCAGCACTTTGGGAGGCCGAGGCTGGAGGATCACTTGAGCCCAGGAGTTCGAGGTTACAGTGAGCTATGATGAAGCCCCTGCACTCCAGCCTGGGCAATGAGAAAGACCCTGTCTCTTAAAAAAAAAAAAAAAAGTCATAAACAGGAGAGGCTGCCATGGCTACGGCTCCCAGTGACGTCACGGCCAGCCCTGTGACGCACAGCCAGAGCAGCCCGTGGAGACCGAAGCTCCTCTGTGACGTCACAGCCGCACGGGCCGCAGCGCAAGGGCAGGTGCGGCCGCTAGGCCTGCCAACTTCACGCAGGGTCTGTGGGGTCCCTGCGGCGGCGGCTGCTGAAGGAGGGCCCCAGGGACTTGGCGACCGCGGCTGCGGCTTTAGCGTCCGTGACGGGCAGCGCCGGGTCAGGATGCGCCGAAGCTCCCGCCCGGGCTCGGCCTCGTCCCCGAGCAAGCACACGCCCAACTTTTTCAGCGAGAACAGCTCAATGAGCGTCACCTCGGAGGACAGCAACGGGCGCCGGTCAGCGGGGCCGGGGCCAGGGGAGCCCGAGGGCAGAAGAGCCCAGGGCCCGAGCTGCGGTGAGCCCGCCTTAAGCGCGGGAGTGCCCGGAGGAACCACATGGGCAGGAAGCTCTCGGCAGAAGCCGGCGCCTCGGAGCCGCAACGGGGAGACCGCCTGTGGCGCGGCAACCGTGAGGGGCGGGGCCTCGGGTGCGGGCGGGGTCGACCCCGGGTGAGCCTATGGAAGGGGCGGGGCCTAAGGGCGGGGCAGGGACGGGGCTAAGATGATGTCTGGGCTCCCCCTGCGAGGTGGGGCCTGTAGGGTAAATGAGATCCTTAAGGGGCGGGGCCTTGGTGTGATGGACGGCATGGGAAGGGGCGGGGAAAAATCTTGTGATTGGGCGCCACTGAGGAGGCGGGGCCTCAGTGTTGGCGTGAGTGGATCCAGGACAATTGGGCTCCACCAAGACCTAAGGCTGGAGGCGGGTCATCCGTTTGGGGGTGGGACCAACTCTTGACCGAGCCTCCCTGAGGGGCGGGGCCGCAGAGTGGGAGCCGGGATCTGGCAGCAGTGGGACCAAAGCCTGTGGGAGGCTGCCCAGCTTTCTGGCTTCTGGGCTGAGGGACCTGCAGCCGGGTATCGAGGGGAAAATGGGTCCGCGGTGCGCAAGGCCCCAGTGGAGCCCTTCGGTTCCCGCAGAACCGACTGGGTCTCCAGTTGTCTCTGAGGAGCCGCTCGCCCTTCTCCCGACCCTGGATCTGAGGCAGGAGATGCCTCCCCCGCGGCTGTCCAAGAGCTTTCTGAGTACGGGCCAGGCCAGCCGCGATCCCCTCTGACCCTCGGGCTCCCCTCTCCGAACTCCAGTTCTCTCTGAGCCCCCGGACCCCGTCTGAGTATCGAGACCCTCTCCGAACCTCAACTCATTCTCTTAGCCCCCAACTAATTCTCCTAGCCCACCCCTCTCTTCCTGAGCCCCAGGTCCACCCCCAGCCTCTCCCGAGCCCCTTCTGAACCCGGACACCACGCTCGCTGAGCCCCCGCCTCTCTCCGCCGTGGGACCCTCTCCGAACCCCCTGTCCTGGCCTCAGGCCTGCTCTTCCAGGTGCTGAGGGTGTCGTTATCCCTGGCAGGAGACGCCCTGGTCAGCGTATACAGGTCAGAGGGAGGGACGCGGGCGCCCCAGGGCCAATTCAGATCCGATTGAGTCGTGTTGGCAGGAGCTGGGTCTAGAACCCTGGGGTGGGGGCTGGAGGGTTAAGCAGGTCGGGGCCTCAGCCTCCCTCCGGTTCCTCAGGGAGGTCTGTTCCATCCGCTTCCTGTTCACGGCTGTGTCGCTGCTGAGCCTCTTTCTGGCAGGTGAGGGGCACTGAATTCCCTGGAGCCCCAGCCCTGGGTGCTTCGGAGGCAAACCCTGCACATTTTCTCCTACATCCTCGCTCTTGCAGCTCCTGGCATTCCCCTGCAGAGCCCTCTAGTTCCCCCTCAGATTTCCACCGCCCTCCCCAGGTTTAAGCCCCTCAAGCCTCTTCCCACTGTCCCCGTATGCCAGATAAACCTGTTCTCTTTTCCTTCCCCTGAGACACCCCCGCTCCTCTTTCTCCAGTAATCTGGTTGGGGCTTCTGTACCTGGTCTCTCCTTTGGAGAATGTGAGTTGGGGAGATTGTCCTGGGGTAGGGGGGCTGGCAGGTTATGAACCTGGAGATTGTGGGGGTCCCCTGGACTGTTGACGTAGGGGCTACAGTCCTTAAGAAGGCTGGATCTAAACAGATTTGTGAGGGATTGTGCTTGAGGGTCTCTTGGGGCTTCTGATACTGGGAGGTCAAGGAAGAATCGAGGAAAGGGGACACAGTCTTCAAAAAGGAAGCCCTTCGAGTCTGGCGGTTTCCAGGCTGAGGTAGGAGCAAGGGCGACGGGAGCTGAGCGGCTCTGTGTTTTGTCCCTTCCTCCAACAGGAACCTAAGGAGATGCTTACTCTAAGGTGAAAGAGGGCCCCTAGGGTGGGAAATTGGGGGACTCAAAGTTGTTTCTTTGAGAATCTTGAAGGCGTGGGGGGCCTTGAAGGTATGCAGGGGGATAGGGAGCCAACTCCACGCGGCGCCCACCTCCCACTTCCAGTGAGTACCACGAGCGCGTGCGCTCCCAGGGGCAGCAGCTGCAGCAGCTCCAGGCAGAGCTGGATAAACTCCACAAGGAGGTGTCCACTGTTCGCGCAGCCAACAGCGAGGTGAGCCTCAGCGCACCTTGGAAACCCCTGGTGAATCCCTGCTCCCAGGTTCCTGAGACTTAAGCTCCGCCCAGAGCCTTGCGGGATTTCTCCCGGGCCCTAGAAGTCCGTCCCAAAGCACCCAGTTCCCCGAGGTCCTGCCCACCTGTAAAAGCAGCTCGCAAGCCCCGCCCCTCCAGGCCTCGCCCTCCTTCTTTGCAGAGGGTGGCCAAGCTCGTGTTCCAGAGGCTGAGTGAGGACTTTGTGCGAAAGCCAGACTATGCGCTGAGCTCTGTGGGTAAGACCCGGAGACACTGGAAGACAGACGCAGACAGGAAAGAGACCGAGACACTGACACAGACAGACTCATGCACCAGACTGGCGGAAGACAGAGGCTCGGACAGATCCACCGCCGCCCCCACCGCCCCGACTCCCGGCAAGGCCTGGGAACCCCTGAGGGTTACTTCTCCCTGCTCCAGGAGCCTCCATCGACCTAGAGAAGACATCCCACGACTACGCAGACAGGAACACTGCCTACTTTTGGAATCGCTTCAGCTTCTGGAACTACGCGCGGCCGCCCACGGTTATCCTGGAGGTGAGCCTGGAAATGTCCCGGGATGGGACCCGGGGCTGGACGCTGGGAAAAGGACCAAAACCCCGCCCTATAGGCGGAGCCTGGCGAAGCCGAGGGCGTGGCGCTAGGCGGGGCCTGGCTTGTCCTGGGTGGGGCTCGAGGATGGCGTTTAATTCAAGGAGAGACCTGGCAGTACTGGAGACAGTGCCCTGGGCGGGCTGAAGGTGGACCTCTGGGCGGGCCGATGGATGGGGTCGAGCTGAGGCCTGGGCTGAGGAGCGGCAGCAGTTGCTCTGTCCCACGGTTCCAGTGGTCCCTTTGTCCGACTGCAGCCCGACGTGTTCCCTGGGAATTGCTGGGCTTTTGAGGGCGACCAAGGCCACGTGGTGATCCGACTACCCGGCCAAGTGGAGCTGAGCGACATCACCTTGCAGCATCCGCCGCCCAGCGTGGCGCACAGCGGAGGAGCCAACAGCGCCCCCCGTGACTTCGCGGTCTTTGTGAGTGCGGACGAGGTCAGGAGGTGGGAGATTTTTGCTTAGAAAGCCCTAGCAGTCCTGAGGACTGTTGCCATTATTTGAGTCTTTGCTTGCTCATCTATAAAGTGGAGATACTACTATTTGCCTCTCAGAGCTGCGGCAGGTTATAATCATAACCATATCTAGATATTAGTTATTGCTTGTAGAGCAATTACTCCGTGCCAAGCAGTTTACATGCATTCTTTTCTTGTTATTTTTGAGACAGAGTCTCACTCTGTCACCCAAGTTGCTGGAGTGCAGTGGTACGATCACAGCTCACTGCAACCTTAGCCTCTGGGGTTCAGGCGATTCTTGTGTTTCATCCTCCCGGCGTGTGCCACCACACCCGGCTAGTTTTTGTATTTTTGTTAGAGATGGGGGTTTTGCTGTGTTGTCCAGGCTGGTCTCAAACTCCTGACCTCAAGTAGTCTGCCCACCTCGGCCCTCTGAAGTGCTGGGATTACAGGCATGAGCCACCGCACCTGCATTGCCTCTACATAACAGCCTATGGTGTACTATTATTATCCCCCTCTTTAAAGATGGGGAAAGTAATGCCCAGAGAGGGGATATTTGTCCAAGGTAAGACAACTAACGATTAGCAGGACTAAAACTTAAAACCTGGTTTCTTAGAACCCACATTCTGAATTACAGTATATTGTATGACCATCAAAAAATACATAAGAACATGCATATAGCTATTGAATACATAGAGGATCCTCAGCAAAGAAGTTTTCTTCTCCCCCCTCCACCTGGCCCCCTCACAGTTCCTCCTTTCACTCTTCACCCACCAGGGCCTCCAAGTTGATGATGAGACTGAAGTTTTCTTGGGGAAATTCACCTTTGATGTTGAGAAATCGGAGATTCAGACTTTCCACTTGCAGGTGTGTTTGTCTCTAGGGTGAAGATGTGAAGTGAGTTGGGGTAGTGAGAGATGAATGACCCAGGAGGAGGGTAGCCCTTGGCATGATCCATTTGTCTCCCCAGAATGACCCCCCAGCTGCCTTTCCCAAAGTGAAGATCCAGATACTAAGCAACTGGGGCCACCCCCATTTCACATGCTTGTATCGAGTCCGTGCCCATGGTGTGCGAACTTCAGAGGGGGCTGAGGGCAGTGCCACAGGGGGGCCCCATTAAACATGCTGATTGTTGGAGTAGAAGCTGGATCAGTGCTTTGGAGTGCTCTGTGGGAGAGCTCTGGCTGCTGTTGCATCTAAGTATGGTGAGATTGACTTCCCAATGCACTCCCTTTTCTTGGAGAACTCTAGATCAAGATGGTAATAGCAGCTCCTGTTTATGGAGTGCCTACTATATACAAGAAACAGTGCTGTGGATATTACATACATTACCTAACCTTATCCTCACAACCAGAGAGGGAAGCTGCTCAGGTCAGGAAATCTGTTCGATGTCACACAGCTAGTGAAAGGCAGCGCCAGAGCAGTACCCATGCCCACCCTTCTGTAGAGGCTGCCCTCTAACTGCAGAGCTGCAGGCAGCCTGAACCCACCTTTTTTGTGCTTAATTCCCAACATAAATGGAAAAGTCCCCAACTCCTGCCAGGTACAGGTGGAGGGGTAGCTACCCCCTTTCTGCAGGCACACACTCAAAAGCCAAGGAAACTTGAGAACCTCTAGGAAGCTTCTGAGTCACAGGCTGATGCAGGCCTGGTACCCCCTACATAGGTTGTCCTTATTGAGATCTAACTGCCCAACTCTGTGTGAGGCACAGCATAGATGATTTAGTGTTCACCAGTCCCTGTCCTCAAGGAGGCTGGCAGGGGAAAGAAGAGGTTCCAGGAAACAGAATGATGCACTTCCAGATCCAAGAATTCTTCACTCCAAGGGTCAAGAGTAGAATTGCAAGGAAAAACGAAGGAGGAGACAGGCAACAAAGGATTAATAAGTTCTACCTAGGAGTGGGAAAGGAGGACCAGCATGAGCAAAGAAACATGCAGCATCTTGGAGGGCAACTTTTTTGAGACAGTCTCGCTCTGTCACCCAGGCTGGAGTGCAATGGTGTGGTCTCAGCTCACTGCAACCTCTGCCTCCCACATTCAAGCGATTCTCCTGCTTCAGCCTCCCCAGTAGCTGGGATTACAGACGCCCACCACCACGCTCCGCTAATTTTAAAAAATGTTAAATATACTTTTTTTTTTTTTTTTTTTTGAGACAGAGTCTCACTCTGTCACCAGGCTGGAGTGCAGTGGCACAGTCTCGGCTCACTGCAACCTCCATTTCCCGGGTTCAAGCAATCTCCTGCCTCAGCCTCCCGAGTAGCTGGGACTACAGGCACATGCCACCACGCCCAGCTAATTTTTATATTTTTAGTAGAGATGTGGTTTCACAATGTTGGCCAGGATGGTCTTGATCTCTTGACCTCATGATCCGCCCGCCTCGGCCTCCCAAAGTGCTGGGATTACAGGCTTGAGCCACTGTGCCTGGCCAAAAAATGTTAAATATACTCTTTTATCTAGCATTTCCACTTTTAGGAACAAATTCTTCAGAACCATTCCTGTTAAGTACACAAAGATACATGTACAAGGATGTTCATTATAGCATTGTTGACAAAAAACTGGGACTCAAATCTCCATGAATAAGAGACTGGTACATTCCTAGTCCTAGCCACTCTAGAGGCTGAGGCAGAATTGCTTGAACCCAGGAGGCAGAGGCTGCTGTAGGCAGAGATCACACCACTGCACTCCAGCCTGGGGAACAGAGCGAGACTCCGTCTCAAAAAAAAAAAAACGTGAAACTCAGAGTGTCTAACACACACAAACACACACACACACACACACAGAGTAGGGGAGCAATTAGTGTCTAACACACACACACACACACACACACACACACACTAGGGGAGCATTTATCCACTGTTTACATTTTGGGGAATTTTCCTTCCTATAGGAGATAACTTTAAAAAATAAAGGAGATAGTTTTAAATAATAAGGCCGGTGTGGTGGCTCACACTTGTAATCCCAGCACTTTGAGAGGCAAAGATGGGTGGATCATAAGGTCAAGAGATCGAGACCATCTTGGCCAACATAGTGATACCCTATCTCTACTAAAAATACAAAAATTAGCCTAGGAGCGGTGGCTCACACCTGTAACCCCAACACTTTGGGAGGCTGAGGTGAGCAGATCACAAGGTCAGGAGTTTGACACTATCCTGGCCAATATGGTGAAATCCCATCTCTACTTAATATACAAAAAAATTAGCTGGGCGTGGTTGCAGGCGCCTGTAGTCCCAGCTGCTCAGGAGGCTGAAGCAGGAGAATCACTTGAACCCGGGAGGCAGAGGTTGCAGTGAGCCAAGATCACGCCACTGCACTCCAGCTTGGGTGATAGAGCAAGACTCTCAAAAAAAAAAAAAAAATTAATCTGGTCTGGAGCTCCTGGGCTCAAGCAGTCCTTCCACCTCAGCCTCCCAAGCTGAGAACTACAGGCACATGCTACCACCCCTGGCTGTAGTTTCAAAAACAGTGAGTTAACATCTCTAGAACGAATAGATATCTGCCCAGAAATACTCGATTTTTTTGAGTGGGGATTTTCACCAGAGGCATCCTTTACTTAACAACCTCTAAGTCAATAAACTGAGGTGCGGAGAGGGGACATTAATAGCAGCCTCTCATCTAAAAACACAGAGTGGTGGCAAAGCATTGGTCTTCACTGGTCTTTATTGAATGAGGGTTGTCAGGAGCAAGAAGGTGGGATCAAGAGCAGCAATAGCAGAAACAAGTATAAAAGTATCAAAAAGTACAAAATACTAGCACTGAGGAGAGTGTGACGCATTGGGCTGTGGCCCAGAGGCACCGCTGGGGCACAGGGTTGAGGACTTGCCATAGCCTCCAAGGGAACCTAGGCCCGGGGGGCCTGTGCTGGGCCCTTGGCTGAGGGTGGAAGCGGCTTGAGCGGGGCCCAACCCTGGGCCCTGAAGTAGGAGACCAGTTGTGTGGGCACCTCTGCGAGCACGGTCTGTGCCAATGCCTCCCGAGGGGCCTGCCAAGAGAAGGGAGAGGTCAGTGGTGGCCCAGAACAGCTGCCCAAAGTCTGCATTACATCCCCAAGAACCCAACCCTGTCCCAGACTTAGAGGAAATATAAGCATCCCTTGGGCCTCAACCCTACTCATATCAGGGAAAGGTGAAAGGGTAAACTCCCAGATCAAATTTGCACCCACTCACATTTTGGAACTGGCGGTAGGGTACAAATTGCACAATGTCACGGGCAGCGGCCTGCCCAGAACGTGTATGCAGGGGTCCACCATCAGCATCCAGCTGCTCCATGGCCTCGAAGTCAGCGCCACCCACACCCACAATGATCACTGACATGGGCAGGTTCGAGGCACGCACCACAGCCTCACGTGTGGCCTCCACATCGGTCACAGCACCATCAGTCAGCAGCAACAGCACGAAGTATTGCTAGGGACAAGACCATTCATGTCCTGAGGCAGATCCTCCTCCCAAACCCCTGCAAACACCCCAGCCACACATCTCCACACTGATAAGAAGTCCCTTATTACAGGCCCCGCACAATGGTTCATGCCTGTAATCCCAGCACTTTGGGAGGCCAAGGTGGGCAGATCACTTGAGGTCAGGAGTTTGTGACCAGCCTGACCAACATGGTGAAACCCCATCTCTACTGAAAATACAAAAATTAGCCGGGCATGGTGGCGCACACCTGTAATCCAAGCTACTAGGGAGGCTGAGGCAGGAGAACCGCTTGAACCTGGGAGGTAGAGGTTGCAGTAAGCTGAGATTGTGCCACTGCACTCCAGCCTGGGTGACAAAGCAAGACCCCATCTCAAGAAAAGAAAAAAAGTTGTTACATAACCCTCAGGAAGCCCTTGATTGCCACCACTGCCATCCACGACTCTCACCGAGGCAGTCCCCTGATGTGCAGCCTGGGCTGCAAACCTGGCCACATGGTTGATGATGGGTGCAAAGTTGGTAGGGCCATAGAGGCGGACTTGGGGCAGGGCCTGGCGGTAGGCATCCACAATGCCCTGGATGCCTGCAGAGAAGATCAAGAAATACTATCAAATCCTGGACCTCTCAGGATTACACCAGTCCTGAAATCACCCCATCCAGCCCTGAGATCTAGGATCCTGGGTGCATTTCATTCATTCACCCTTGTAAACCAGGGCATTTAACTCTCTCCTACACATGAGGAATCTGAAGTTCAAAGAGAGGAGGGGACTAGCCCTAAATCACATATTGAATTAAAACCCAGATGAGAGGGATTCCCCTGGACAAATCCAGGAGAGTTTGAGCATCAGATTGTAACCTATTTAATAATGATCAATTTAATTCAATAAGAATCCATACTATGGTTTAATTGCTGGGGGAGAAGGAAAAGCTCTTAATAAATGTAGAGGGAAGAATTACACTATCATTTGACAATCATAGAAATGACTGATTCAGGCAAGGCTCATCAATAGATGTGAAAACTGGACAGTATAGCCAGGCGCAGTGGTATATGACTGTAGTCCCAGCTACTCGGGGCTGAGGTGGGAGGACTGCTTGGGCCCAGGGGTTTGAGCCCAGCTTAGACAACATAGCATGTGACCCCCATCATCTAAAAAATAAAATGAAAAACTAGAGGGGGAATGTTGATGCATAACTGGGTATTTATATAACTTCAAAGTCTCTTCCCAAAATATACTTACTAATTAGAAAAAGGAAAACAGTACTAGTACAGTGGGGAAACCTGGTAGAACCCTACCTTAACTAAGTGACCAAAGTTAACATGACTGGTAATAGGATAAATCAACATCATGTGCCTCTGAATATGATGCACTGAGAATACACAGCATCACTCTGGTGTTCCTGCCAACGATGTACAACCTGAACCTAATCCTGAGGATTTCTTAGGTAAACCCAAACTGAGGGACATTCTAGAGAATATCTGGCCTGTATTGTTAATATCATGTGAGGCAAGAAGAAGTCTTCCAGATAAAAGATATATACTAACTGAACGCAATGTGTGAGCTGAGATTTTCTTTTGCTGTAAAAGATATTAGGACAATTGGCAAAATCTGAATAAATGCTATAGGTTGCATAATAGTATTGATGTTAATTTCCTGATTTTGAGAATTGGTTTGTGGTTACCTTAAAAAGTTTTTGATTTTAGGAGATACATAATGAAGTACTCAGAGGTAAAAGCCAGGTGGATAATGACAGGTATAAAGTCGGTAGGGCCATAGAGGCAAACCTGAGGCAGGACTATTCATTACAACATTCGCAAACACAGGTATACATGCGTATTCATACATAAACGCATATATTTTAAATCTTTTTTCCCCTGAAAGGTTTGTGTGTATATGTACACACACACACACACACACACACACACACACACACACACACACACACAATATACATGTATGAGAAAGGAGAGAGAAAGTGAATGTGGTAAAATGTTAATGTTTGGGTAACTGGGAAAAAGGTGAAGAGCCCCTGTGAACTCAGGCCCTGACCCCTGAGTTCCAAGGACCTGAACCCCTGTGACTATTCTTGCAACTTTTCTCTAAATCTGAATTTATGTTGAAATACAAAGTTAAAATTTGAAAACCCAGATCAGATCGGGTCAGGTCAGATTTTCCACTTCAGCTGGTGTCCACGTGGGGGTGCTGGGGAGTCAAAAGGTTTGGCTCTAAACTAAAGAGCTTCCTGTACTTGCATGCCATACAAGGAGGTAAACAAGGCTTCCACTGATGCTCAATTAACTACCTGTTAGCTCCTAGGCAAAGATAATAATGATAATATAACAGTTAGCATTTTTCAGAGAACACTTAGTAAGTACCAGGCTTACTGCTTTCCTTGCAGCCTCTCCTTGAGTACTCAATTTCCTGTAATGTTTGGTCTTCTTATGAAACCAAAGCACATGGAGATTAAGCAACTTGCTTCAAGTCATGTGGCATGATGATTTTTATTTTTATGTTTAGGGTCTCACTGTGTCACCCAGGCTGGAGTACAGTGGCATGATCGTGATCATGGTTCACCACAGCCTCAACCTCCCAGGCTCAGGTGATCCTCTCACCTCAGCCTCCTCCTGAGTAGCTAGAACTACAGGCGCCTGCCAACACACCCAGCTACTTTTTGTAATTTTTGTATTTTTATTAGAGACAGGGTTTTGCCATGTTGCCCAGGCCAGTCTCGAACTCCTGGGCTCAAGCGATCCACCTACCTTGGCCTCCCAACTGAGTGCTAGAATCATGGGTGTGAGCCACCATGCCTGGCCTGACATGATGACTTCATTCCAGAGGCCTAGCTCTAAAATCCACCCTCTGGACCAGGTGCTATGGCTCACATCTGTAATCCCAGCACTTTGGAAGGCTAAGGCAGGTGGATCACCTGACATCAGGAGTTTGAGACCAGTCTGGCCAACATGGCAAAACCCCATTTCTACTAAAAATGCAAAAATTAGCCAGGCATGATGGCATGAGCCTATAGTCCCAGCTACTTGGCAGGCTGAGGCAGAAGAATAGCTTGAACCCGGTAGGCAGAGGTTGCAGTGAGCCAAGATCGTGCCATTGCACTCTAGCCTGGGTGACAGAGAAAGACTCCGTCTCAAAAAATAAATAAAATAAAATCAAAATTAAATAAAATCTACCCTCTGGACAATGCAGGCAGGTATCTGCCCCCACTCTCCCTTTTGCCCATGCAGGCTTGTCCCTCTATGTGTGGACAGACCTGCCTCAGGGTGGATGGGGAAACTTACCTGCACAGTAGGGGTTACTGGGGTTGAAATTCAAGGCAAATTCATGCGAGACCTGCAGACAAGAATGAAAATGAGGTTATTTCCCCATGATCTCTATGCTAAGAATGAAAAAGGACACTAGGGTGTGTACCAAGTTTCTACAGGAGCTATGGAGGCCTGAGCAGTTGCTGTCTACATGGCCTGCAGGAATCCATCCCTACATATCCTCTTAAGTCTGACTGCCAGGAAGCAAGTAAATTTAATGCATATCCCAAAATCAGGACCCTAAAACTGGAAACAGGAGTGGCAGAAAGAGAGAAAGCTCACCTGCCAGTCAGGGGGAACCTGGGCCCCAAATCCAAATGCTGGGAACAGCTTGTCTCTGTGGGAAGACAGTGTGTTGGGGAAGAGGCAGTGAGGGGATTGTGAGCCCAGAGGCTGAAGCATCTGCAGTGAGTCGGGATAGCCAAGAGAAGCAGGTACTCACGAGTCATAGTCCTGAACCACGGTGCCCACACTCCACAGTGCCGTCAGGTACTCGTTGACCCCTGTTGGACTCAGGTAGTGTAGGGAGTCAGGTGAGGAGGGGTCTCCATTGGAGCCAGTGAAGTCCACGCCCACCTGAGAGGAGGTGAGGAAGGGAGCTGAAGACCACCTTGAGCCCCAGATCTGTTCTCTTGCCCTCGGTAAGGCAACTTACAGTGAAGTTGATCTGACAGCCTCCCATCACATAGTCCAGGAAGGAATACTCTGTTTCTACCTGCAGATGAAACCAGGGTCATGGCCAGAGTGATAGGAGTTGGTGTCATGGAGCTCAGGAATCAGAGCCTTGGTTACATGGGCTATTGTCTCACCTGGCAAATTTTCACACAGATAGTTCCAGAGTTCTTGTAACTTTTCTTTTTCTGCTGCTTCTCAGGGTGAATGCATTCAAACTCAGCCTGGTGAGGACAGAAAAATTAGGGTAGGAAATTCTCAGAGCATCAGTCAATGACTGGAACTCCCTTCTCCTCCCTCTCTCCCCTGAGCTTCAGCTATCTAGGCCCATTTCCACACCCCTGGCAGAGACAGCACTGACCGGGACTGCTTGCAGCTGGGCCAAGCTGGTGTGGAAGGTACCGATGAGATCATGTGACCCATCACTATCATAATCGGAGCATCTCACCTGAGGGGAAGTTGTGTGTGGACATATGAGTCAGGTGGCAGATGAGAATAAGTGCCTTTCCAGGTTCTCTTCCCCGTTGCAGTCCACTCAGGAGGCAAGCTCCTCACCTGGATGGGTGTGCTGGGGTCTCCACCACAGAAATGCTGAACAGAGACTGAGAAGCGCTTCCATGTAGGGTTCAGGTTGTTCTTGATGACCTGAAGGTGGAGGCCAAGGACTCCAGTGAGCTCTGGCATGGCTCGTGAGGAGCTGCCACACTCCCCTTCCCACTTGCAGTCTCTTTCTCCCTGAATTCCAAACCTTGCTAGTCACAGGCCCCAGGAGAGTCTCTGCTATCCCAGCCCACCCAATCCCAGGGGTCTCATACCTCAGATCTGTACACCAAGTGCCATTTCCCATCACCCTGGCGGAAGAACTCCAGAAATGGATCCGATTTTCCCAGGAAGTCCTGCCAATGCCAGAGACCCCAGTTACGAGACTCAGGAACAAACAACCACTATGCCATCCCTCTGTCCACACCCCTGCCCCCCATACACCATGCTTGGCCCCTGAACTCTTAGATTACCAGAGCCTACTTCCAGACACACCTTCTTATCTAGGTTTCTGGCCTCTATCTCCATGGTTACTACACGATTGTCCTTCAACTCTTGAGCTGAAACCTAGGTAGGGGAGACTACATCACCTCATGAATTCCTTGATGTAAGGTCCTCCCCAACCCTTGCTGGGTTCCTTACCGTGATGGTCCCCCGCCCAGCAGGTTTTCCAGGCTCCAGCATCAAGGGAAGAGTCAGTACCTGGCTGGACACAATCTGGGGCAAAGCGGGGAGGAGGTTTTCAGGATAACAGGCAGGGTTAGGTCCTGCTTGCCCCCTACCTCCAGGCGGGCTAGGTTGTCTCACAGACCTGCGTCTGAAGGATCCTAATCCCTGGCCCTACATACCTGTCCTAGGGAACATTCAGCACCCCCTAGGAAGTCATCATCCCCCAGCTCTGGTGTCTTGTTGTCTGTGTCATAGATTCCAAAGCGTAGCTTCTGGACTGTCTCAAAGTGGTACTCAAGCTGCAGAGTCTTGGAGAACTGAGGGCTTGAGCAGTTCTGCACTCGTTCAGTCCGGCCAAGCTGTGGGCAGAGGCCAGTAAGCATCACAGTCACACAGCCTCCACCCCAAAATACAATCCTAGCCTCCCTCCACAACCTTAACCTCTATAATCCATCTCACCTCAGCCCAGTTGCCCCCTCCCACATCCTGTAAAAGGACGCAGAGTGGGTCAGACTTGGAGCCGATGTCCATGGTAATGAGATGGTCACAGGAAATAGACAGCTGAACCAAGGTCATGCAGTGGGCCATCTGAGGGAAAAGGAGCTGGGTCAAGACCAGGGAGACTTCTCTCCCCTTCCCTGACTGTGGGTCCCAGCTTGGGAAGTCCAGCAGGCTTCACCCAGGCAGGGCTGTGCATACATCCACCCCCATGACACCCAAGAATGAGAAGGCCTTACAGCCTCCAAATCCCTTAAGCCCCAGGTGAGCTCAATGGCACAGAAGATAGTGGTTACAGCCAACCCTGGTCTGAAGATATTGAAAAAGGGTGATAGCCTCCATCTATAACTGTGACCCCAAACTATCCTCACCTGAAAATTTGTCTTAATCCCAATAGGGCTGTCCAGACTCAGACTCCAATCTTGGCCTTTGCAAAAGCCAATAAATCTCATTCTGACCCCCTTACTGGTCCCAGGTCAGACCCTAATCCAAGTTCTGATCCTAACATTGCCCCTAATATAACTATGATCCAGATAATGTCCCCACAAAGTATCTTCACCCAATGACTTCTCACTAACCCTGGGGACCTATCTCTTATGGTGGAGTTAGGATCCCCTGCTAATTCTCCTAACCTCTAACCAGTGCTAATGTCCAACTCATCACTATTTCCAGTGCTGCTACCCAGTCTAAGTCATCACTGTTTCTCACCTGGCTTACAACATTAGCCTCTTTAACTGGTCTCCCTTATTCCATGCCGTCTCTACTTCCATTCCCCCATCTCCACCCCAGCAGGCTATTTTAAATACTGCAATCAGGGTGATCCTATTAAAACTTAAGTGAGGCCGGGTGCAGTGGCTCACACCTGTAATGCCCCTAGGAAGTCATCATCTTTGGGAGGCCAAAACAGGCAGATCACTTGAGGTCGGGAGTTTGAAAACAGCCTGGCCAACATGGTAAAACCCCTTTTCTACTGAAAATATATAAAATTAGCTGAGTGTGGCAGCATGCACCTGTAATCCCAGCTACTCAGGAGGCTGAGGCAGGAGAATCACTTGAACCTGGGAGGTGGAGGTTACAGTGAGCCAAAATCGTGCCACTGCACTCCACTCCAGCCTGGGTGACAGTGAGATTCCATCTCAAAAAACAAAACAAAAAAAAGTGAGGTCATGTTACACCTCTGCCTGAACCTTCCCATTTCCTATTGCAATTAGAAAAAATCCAAACTTGGCTGGGCATGGTGGCTCATGCCTGTGATCCTAGCACTTTAGGAGGCCAAGGCAGGTGGATCACGAGGTCAGTAGTTAAAGACCAGCCTGACCAACATGGCGAACCTGTCTCTACTAAAAATAAAAAAATTAGCTGGCATGGTGGTGGGTGCCTGTAATCCCAGCACTGTGGAAGGCTGAGGCAGGAAGTTGCAGTGGGCCGAGATCACATGCCATTGCACTCCAGCCTGGGTGACAAAGCTAGGCTCCATTTCAAAAAAAAAAAAAAAAAAAAAAAAAAAAAAAAAAAAAAGAAAAAAAAAATCCAAACTATACCGTGACCCATAAGGTCTTGAAAGGTCTAGATTTCTTTAACCTGATCTAATATCATCTCTCCTACTCACTCCATTTCAGCCACCTTGCTTGTCACTCCTCAAATAAGCCAGGTTTGTTTGTTCCTTCTTTCTTTTGTGAGACAGAGTCTCACTGTCACCCAGACTGGAGTGAAGTAGAACCGCTGCCTCCTGGTTTCAAGCAATCCCTCCCACCTCTGCCTCCTAAGTAGCTGGGACTACAGGCGTGCACCACAATGTCCAGCTAATTTTTTTTTTTTTTTTGTAGAGACAGGGCCTTATTATGTTGCCCAGGCTGCTCTTGAACTCCTGGGATCAAGCGATCCACCTGCCTCAGCCTCCCAAAGCGCTGGCATGATAGTGTGTGTCACCGCACCCAAGTATTTTTGTTTCTACCCCAAACCCTTTGCAATACCTGGAATGTGTTCTTTCTCTGCATTATATCCACATGGCTCACTGCTCCCTTTCCCCAAAAGTCTTCACTCAAAATAATCTTCCCTGTTATAAAAGGCTGTTTTAGCCACTCTAAAATTTCAACTCCACTTGAAACTACATACCCCTTATCTGCTTTTTCTCAATTTCTAACATTACATGTATTTGTATACTATTTCCCCCACTAGAATATAAACTCTGTGAGGGAAGGTATACTTAGCTGTTCTGTTTATTGTTCTAACCCAAGCACCAAAACAATACATATTTGCTGAATGAAATCTTAAAGTTCATCTCCAGCCCCAGCTCCCTGCCCAGCCAGCAGCAAACTAACTGATGTCTTGCCCCTGTAATCAGGCAGCACCAAGCTTCTCTGATTCACTCCTTCCCTCTGCTGGAGACATTATTTTCTTGCATGGATCACCATGACAACACCTGGGTATTCCGTCCTCCTGCAGCCACTGTAACAATCACCCTCAAGCCTCATGCTAGCCCTGTGTCCCCCTTGGCCCATATACCTGAAGACCACTCGAGCAGGAGAGCAGACAAGATCAGATCTTTCACTGAACTTCACTCAGCATTCCAGATTTCCCAGAACTATACCCTGAGATGTCTCCAGCCTTGGCCTTCCCTGTACTGATCCTCAGTCAATTGCTCCTCCCTCGCAGCCCACAGCACCCTATCTTGGTCCCTCACAGTCTCCATCTGGAATGCTGTTATCAAATTTGGATTCACTCAGAATTCAACGTGCTTCACACACTGCCCCTCCACTGCACCCTGGCCCTGCATGAATGCTCCCAGTGATAGAAAACCCAGTCTTACAATCCAATCATCAGAAAGTCTAAGGCCATACAAATCCTACCTAAACTGACCTAACTCTTCGGAATTCTTACTTCTACCCGGTAGTTCTACTTCTTCCCCAGCCTAGGGCGCTATGGGAAGGCCTTACCCTATCTCCCTCTAAGAACTCACATGGAAGCTGTGAACAGTCCCAGCAGAAATCTGGAGAAACAGCCCAGTTCTTTTGACTGTTGCCCCTAGAATGTGGCCTGCAGACTTCTGATCATCCTGATCACTCCCTTGGAGGTTTCTCAAGGACAGATCCAGAGCAGAATACATGCTCCCCCAAGGGATCAGGATCACAGCTTCCCCCAGGTCGCAACCTGAACTCCATGCATGTCACCTCACATGCTCTCCAACGCAGTGTTTACACAGTACAGAGACAAATCAAAAAGAATGCTCATTTCACTAATGCTGAGAATAGTGAAAAACCAAAGGCAGCTTAAAGGTCTATCCACTAATTATGGTATATATGAACACAGGAATGCTGAGTAGTGGCTAAAAAATAAGCCAGAACTGTATTATGTTGGTATTATATGAAAAAATAAAAAAATAAGCCAGGCGTGAGGTGGCTCACGCCTGTAATCCCAGCACTTTGGGAGGCTGAGGCAGGTGGATCACCTGAGGTCAGGAGTTCAAGACCAGCCCAGCCAACATGGAGAAACCCCATCTCTTAAAAAAAAAAAAAAAAAATAGGCTCACTCTTGTAACCCCAGCACTTTGGGAGCCCAAGGTGGGCAGATCACTTGAGGTCAGGAGTTCAAGACCAGCCTGGCCAACATGGTGAAACCCAGTCTCTACCAAAATTAGCTGGGCATGCTGGTACACAATTGTAGTCTCAGCTACTCGGGAGGCTGAGCCAGGAGAATCACTTGAACCTGGGAGTTGGAGGGTTGCAGTGAGCCAAGATCATGCCACTGCATACGAGACTCCACTTCAAAATAATAAAGTAATAATAAGAATAGTCTGACCATTTTTTATTTCAATTGTAAACTTCCATTTTAAACTTCAATTGTAGATATGTATTTACAATATATTTGAATACAAACATAAAATAAATACACAGAAAAATGGAAGATATACCAAATGTTTTAGGTAGCTTGAAGGAGTGGAAGATGAAAATTTTGTGAACTCCATATACTTTTGTATTGTTTCAACATTTTATACTTTTTTTTTTTTTTTT